TTCAAAAGCACCCATTACTTAAGAGTGAGTCATTCTGCAAAGCAACTGGTTCAACTGAATCAAAGCTTTGAAAAAGTTTCGTTTCTCCCATCACTACACACATGAATGTGAAATATCACAGGCATTGAAGGATACATCTATACTGCCTTCAGAAATCGATCAGTTTCCCCCTAGTATTGTAAGTTTTTGCACTGCTCTGCTGCACCCCATTACACTTTGCTCTGTTTATTGTTAGGAAGACAGAAAGGTTTAAAAATGACATTTTTAGGCTACTCTGCCTCAAATATAATGCATTAAAATGCAAGCACTGTTAATGCAATGTTTTATTTTCAGTTAGTGCAATCTTGAAATCTTGAGTGAAAGTATTATTTGTTACTCCCATCACTACTGTATATAGTACAGCATTAAAGTACAACAATATATGAGAAAAATAAAAATTTTACTCCAAGCTCACGTTATAGCATCAATCAAGTGTTTGAAATAACCTCCTTCTGTGAACTGATGTGGCTTCTAATCACAGAATGAGGTGGAAATTATATTATTTTACAGTACTTTATACAGTGATAAAGGCTTTGTCGATTAGCATTGCATTATAAATATACATTATCCTTATGAAAAATACCTGAGATGGCTTGAAGAGCAGAGATAAACCATACACTGGTGCAATGGTGAGCTAATTATCTTCACGTTTCAGTCACTAATATTCAGTCACTCATTTTCATGGGCCAGTATAAAAGGAGAAAGTGATGTAAAGTCACACACACAGGAGACAGTGTGATGCTGTGTGTCTCTGTGTCTTCAGTCTCTGCTGATTGTGTGACTGAGACGTCTTTGTAGCAGCTCCTTATTCACCATCAGTTGATCCTGAGGAAACTGGACTGACGTCTGAATACTGAGAGTCCTACAATAAAACACACAGACAGTCACATATGAGTATGAGACAATACTGCTGTCACATCACATCAGCAGATCGACTTCAGAAAAACACAACCAGAGATATTAGTATATTCATATTACAGCCAGCGATATGAATGAACAACTGATCATAGATTAATAACAGTAAATTATCAACAACTACTATCAGTTACAGACACTGTAAGAGACTAAAATATTCATATATTCATAAATCAGTGACATCACAGAATTAAACAGTTTAAAGTACAGAGACTAAAGTGGAGCTAAATTATTTTCTTATATTTTCCAATCACACACACAGGAGGTCTGTTACTGACCATGGGTCATTTTAAAAACTTTAAATAAACAAACACTCACAATAGTATAATGTCTGTAGTTTAGAATGTGGATCATCCTTCAGATCAGAGAGTAACTTCACTCCTGATTTTCCTAGTTTATTCCCAGAGAGATCCAGTTGTCTCAGGTGTGAGGGGTTTGATCTCAGGGCTGAAGCCAGAGCAGCACAACCTTCATCTGTGACGCCACAATCAAACAACCTGTAGAGAATAAATAAGAGTTTGAATTGTAGTTCAAGTGTCTGTAGTTTGTTATCGACTCTGGTCTCAGAGCAGGAGAGGAGATATAATGACAAGCATTGCCACAAACTGCTGCTGATAGAATAAGATTTATGCTTGCTGATGCTCAATGGTGCTGTTTGAAACTGTCATGTGCTTCAGGACTGAACAGACACACAGAGCTGAATGTGAATTCATAGCGATTCACTAAGGTTTCGAAGCTTCACGAAGAAGTGCTTCAAAAGCACCCATTACTTAAGAGTGAGTCATTCTGCAAAGCAACTGACAACCTGTAGAGAATAAATAAGAGTTTGAATTGTAGTTCAAGTGTCTGTAGTTTGTTATCGACTCTGGTCTCAGAGCAGGAGAGGAGATATAATGACAAGCATTGCCACAAACTGCTGCTGATAGAATAAGATTTATGCTTGCTGATGCTCAATGGTGCTGTTTGAAACTGTCATGTGCTTCAGGACTGAACAGACACACAGAGCTGAATGTGAATTCATAGTGATATAAGGACATATCTGTCTATAGAAACAGTCACTTACAGCTCTAATAAACACCTACAGGAGGACATTTGCTTCACAGGAGCCACATGTTCCCCATTACATCTAATTTATTAACTATTGTGGTCAAACACATCGTGTCATGTTTGGTCTCATCTGGCAGCTTAAAACTGAACTTAATGTACAAAGAACAGTCTCGGTTACGTATATGTAGCCCTCATTCCCTGAAGGAGGGAATGGAGACGTCACGTCGTGACCGACGAATTGGGATCTCGCTTCAAAAGACCAATCTACTTCGAGTGTAAACTAAACGAGCCAATGGACATCGGCATGCGATGATTGCATCCAGCTGCCGCTGATCACGGCGTGAGCATAAAAAGGCAGCTGGTGCAACGCATACCAGGTTTTCGCTGAGGAGCCGAGCCGGTGACCGAGCCGCTCAGCGGTGGTACAGCAGCCGTGGCAACGGGACGTGACGTCTCCATTCCTTCTTCAGGGAACGAGGGTTACATACGTAACCGAGACGTTCCCTTTCAGTCGGTGATTACAAGTCACGTTGTGACCGACAAATTGGAATCCCTACCAAAGCGCCATGGATGCTGCCCCTTCCAGTGTCCTGTGTGAGCCTCCTGCGCCCCTTTTTGGTGTAGGCTGGGGCTCGCAGCAAGAAGACCAATCACCGTTGTCGTAGCACTACCCACTTAGTGAGATTGGATAACACTGGGAAAACGTACCCATTCCACTTGGAACAGGAACGTTGCTGAAACCCCATCACTCCCGAAGGAGGTTTCGGAAGCACTTACACACATGAACAACCGTTTAGTTGCATATGGAAGAATAGAGGTGATTGTATCCATCTTGGAAAATGGCAGAGAGTCTGCCAGAGAAACACAGGCTCTGAGGCTATACCGTGGACTTTACACATATGGGATCCACTTAGGTCTCTACATACAGGCCCTCTACTGGTTCTCACGGATTTATCGAGTGAGGGCCTGGTGCCGGACATTCCGCCACGACTGACTGCCGAGGGGATGGAGAAGCTCAATAGGGTCTACAGTACGGACTCTCTGGAGCAATTTTAGCAAGCCGACACTAAATCAGGGCCTCTCAGCACTTCTACCCGTTTGAGATGAGAACACAGGAGGATACCTGCTCCACACGAAGGCTATAGAATCTAGCGAAAACCCGCAGCTCTACAAATATCTGTCAGCGAGGCACCACGAGCCAGCGCCCAGGAGGATGCAACACATCTAGTAGAGTGAGCTCCCTACCTGAGCAGGCAGGGCACACCCTGTGCCTGATAAGCCAGGGTGATGTCATCCACAATCCAGTGGGCCATCCTCTGCTTAGAGATGGCCTTTCCCTTCTGCCGGCCTCTGTAACAGACAAAGAGCTGGTCTGAGGTCCTAAAGCTTTGTGTCCGGTCTATGTAGCATCTCAAGGCTCAGATGGGACAAAGCAATGCTAGGGCTGGGTCTTCCTCCTCCGGGGGCAGCGTTTGTAGACTCACCACCTGATCCCGCTGCAACCCTTGCTGCAAAAAGGAAAGCACGACCCTGATCGGGCATTTCCGGGGGTCTTCTCAACGAGAAGAACACCACTCGACGAACAGGTTCCACTTCAAGGTGTAAGCATGTTTCGTGCCGAAGTGATGGTGTCAACTACCTCTTGGGGTAGGTCACCTAGACCCTCCGCGTCCCGTCCAGGGACCAGACATGAAGTTTCCAGAGGTCTGGATGCGGGTGCCACAGGGTGCCCCGTCTCTGAGTCAGTAGATCCATTCTCAGAGGAATCTGCAGGGGGGGCTGTCATGAGCATTAGTTTGGGGAACCAGGTACGAGTGGGCCAATATGGCGCCACAAGCAGGACCTGCTCCTCGTCCTCCCTGACCTTGCACAGTGCCTGTGCGAGAAGGCTCACTGGGGGAAACGCATACTTGCACAGGCCCCACGGCCAGCTGTGTGCCAGTGCGTCCGTGCCGAGTGTTTTCTCGGTCAGGGAGTAGAACACTGGCAGTGAGAGGTTTCTGGAGAGGCAAACAGGTCTACCTGAGCGGCTCTGAAATGTCTCCAAATCAGCTGGACCATCTGAGGATGGAGACTTTCTTTCTCTTGGGAGTGTAGCTCGTGACAGCTCGTCGGCCGTACGGTTGAGCAGACCCAGAATGTGAATGGCACGAAGGGACCTCAGAACCCTCCGACTCCAAAGGAGGAGGTGGCGGGCAAGTTGCGACATGCGACGGGAGCGCAGACCACCTTGTCGGTTGATGTTCGCAACGGTCGCTGTGTTGTCCGTTCGGACCAGCATGTGCTTGCCTTGTAAGCGCCCTTTGAGATGGTTCAAGGCAAGGCGCACCACTAACAACTCTAGGCAATTGATTTGCCAGTGCAGTTGGGGGCCCGTCCACACCCCCGACACTGCATGCCCATTGTACGTGGCCCCCCAGCCGGTGGTGGAGGCATCCGTGCATGCCTGGAGACCTGTTCTAGGAGCACTCCTGCCCGGAGAAACACTACCTGGCTACCGCCAGGACGAACACTAGATCGTGGCAGAGGCAACAGAGCTCCGCCCCCTGGAGGTAACGGAGCCTGGTCCGCAGCTCTGAGATGGTCATCTTCCCGCAATGAGAACATGACTCATCCATGAACGCCACCTCAGTGTGTTTAGTGCCCAGACACGCGAGGCAGCGATCGTGACCATCACCCGGCGCCAGGTAACGATGGCATCCAGAAACGCATGGGTGAAACGGCATCTTTAAAAAGACGATCCGTCGTCTTTACAAAGACGCACCTGTGTACTCTTTTAGAGAAATTGGCTCTTTCAGGGAAATGCTCTTTTACTTGCTGAGACACACAAAGGAAATGGCCGCTTGCAGCACGACAGGGGGTATTGCAGCCTGAAGTGCACAACCCACTTGACACAGGAACGACCACCGCTGAAGCGCCATCCGCCAACACAAAAAGCTCCCTAGAACGCGCTGAACTCGTCGTCACCACGAAGATATTGGTAGGAGCAGAACGATGTTATCGCTCGGCTCCGAAGCGAAAAGCTGGTATGCGTTGCACCGGCTGCCTTTTTATGCTCACGCTGTGATCGAAGCGAGATCCCAATTCGTCGGTCACGACGTGACTCGTACTGACCGACTGAAAGGGAACTATTGCCAGAATCGATGGAGTACAGGCTCAAACAACACATTTTTGGCACAAACACTAAAACTAAAAACTCTTTAGGACTGGAATAATACCACGAAAAAGAAGACTCTGCCTCCCACTGCCAGCAGCTTACATTCCGGAGACTGGAAAACACAGCTGTCTACATTCAAACAGAAGAAAAAGAAAATGTAGCAGAAACATTAGTAGCAGAAATACAACAACCTTTTGCCTTCCTCAAGCAACCGTTTCTGATGTAAACAAGGAACTTCGGAAAAGCACAAGACTGCGAATCGTATCATCATCCATGTGGGGAAGAATGATATTCGGAAAGAGCAGTCAGAACTCCTTAAGAAGGACTTCAGTGAACTCTTTGAAACACTTCAAAGACTTGAAGTTCAGTCATTCATCAGTGGACCACTCCCAGCAAGGGGAATTCATATGTTTAAATCACTCAATGGCCTAGGACCTAAATACATTGCAGATATGCTCACTGAATATAAATCTAACAGACCACTCAGATCATTAGGATCGAGTCAGTTAGAAATACCAAGGGTTCACACAAAACAAGTGGAGTCCGCTTTTAGTTATTATGCCGCCCACAGTTGGAATCAGCTTCCAGAAGAGATCAGATGTGCTAAAACATTAGTCACATTTAAATGCAGACCCAAAACTCATCTGTTTAGCTGTGCATTTATTGAATGACCACTGTGCAATGTCCGAACTGATTGCATTATATTTTATGTATAATCATTTTCCATTCTTAACTGTTTTAAATTCATTTTAAACCTTTTAAATACATTTTTTAATCATTTTCTAAGTTTTAAATTCCTTGTTTTATTGTTATTATTATTTTCTTTTCTTTTATGTATAGCACTTTGAATTACCATTGTGTATGAAATGTGCTATATAAATAAACTTGCCTTGCCTCTGTAAGAGGGGCCACAAACACACCAATTGACTAAGAGGCACCAGGTCCTTTAGAGTTGGGAGGTGACAGCTCTGAAGGGAACCAGGTACCGATATCAGTTGACACTGGTAGAGACTCTGCAGAATCTGATGGTGTGACCCTGAATGTGGAGGCTGCAGATGAGCGTGTTCTGTCTCAGAGGTTAGAGACTGGTGAAATGCTGGTGAAGTACCAGTTCCAGCTGTGCGCAGAAGCAAGCGAGCGACTGGGGGTGTTCACACAAATCCTTTTCATGCACCCAGGTCTGCTTGTCATACAGTAAGTGTCAGCACAGATATGGTGTCTCAAGTGCTGACCAGTATTGAAAGTGCGTTGTTTGAGAAGGCAATACAGTGTGTCATGAATACTGAACTTGTA